TATATCAAGACTAAGTGACAAACGTGTTTGAACTTCTGTTATGCCTCTGTTGCTATTACAGGCCACAATGCAAGACAGGATCCTGAACTTGAGATTGATATAGATTGGCTGGAGTTATAGATCATCATAAGTAAAGTTGTGAAGCCAAGTACAATGTTCCTTGGACGGATGGGCTCCCACAGCACATTAGGTCAATGGTTCCAATGGTGTGCACTGAAAATGCGTGTGACTTCCAGGGTGACAAGTACCATATTTCAGGGCAGACACTTTGGGTCAAATTTGTCCATGAAATTTGTGCTTGGTATAGAGACCAGCTGTGATGACACAGGGGCTGCTGTCGTTGATAGTAATGGAAAAGTAATTGGTGAAGCCCTCCATTCTCAGACAACGATACATAACGAGTAAGTACTTTGTATTTTGAATGAAAAAGTGGGAGATTTGAATATGATAAGATTTTTGCCCCTTTGAAAAGATTTTGTTTCATGTTCAACTTTTGAGAATGCCATGCTTTTAGTTAGGACTGAAGCAACTAGACATCAATTTGAGCAGCATGGCTGATGCAGAACATTTAGTATTTAGTGGTATGAATTTGCCTTTATTGAGAAAGCTGGTAGCAAGCCGTTGACAAATAGAAACCGATGAAGAGCACGGAGTGGTCAATGCTTTGTTCGAGTTATGCAGGGTCGAAGGGGACCGAACAGCACGATGCCATAGGGGCCTAATTTGCTGTCAGTGACGAGGGTGGCCTGGTCTTTCACGACTTTCAAGTAGAGGGAATGGCAGCTGTCGTTTCAACCCATCCCCCTAAGAAACTGGTCCAACAATCCCCTCAACGAAGTATGCTCTGTATGTAACAACGCTCGTGCACAAAGGCAGGCTTTATAAATGGCAACTCATCAATAGATTGGGGAAGAAATATCTAACCCCCCCCCCCACACACACACACAAACCTTTTCTTAACATCTACGAGAACGCTTTTGGAAATACGATTTGAAACCGTGGGTCTGTGAAGCAAAAGACCAAATGCTCACTCAGCTGACTCATCAACAAAGGATGGTCACACTTGCCCAGATGATGAAACAAAAAAACACAAGCTGTGACTACTATATATGAGAATGACAGCAGCCTTCAGATCAATGCAAGCCTATAAAAGCCATATATCGTTTTGTAGTGCAACAATAAGTAAATGAAAGTGAGCTTGGCTTTAGATTCCACTCAGTTAGTTCTATAATGATAATACCAGCAGTATGTTGATTTGTATCATAATCTTTCGTCTCTGTTAAACATGTGAGTTTATTTCCGGTTTTTATCATAGTTTAACAATTACTTTCGTTTCTCATGATTTCTTCCTTGTGGCACCACACGGCTTACGTCTAACGTTTTCGTGGCCAAAACAACCCCAACCCTTTTACTTCTTACCTTGATATACTTTTTATACTTTTAGCCTCCTTTTTAGTTTTAGTAAGAGTTTTACGGCACTTGCAACACAATAACTTTCAATAAGGTCATATAAGTGGCGAAGAGTAGAGGTGTTTCAAGTGAGTAACAGACACAAAAAAACACGGAGGAGAGATTAGGATGATAGATGTTAGAGAGGAAAGAAGGTGCATTAAACCACACCAGAGCACCAGCTAACCATCCACTTAACCTCCCTTTACTCTAGTTCAAGCATATTTACATTTGAACTTGCTATGTGGCATTTGAATTTGCTATGTGTTACATTTGAATTTGAGATTTCTATGTTTACATTTGAACTTGCTATTGTTGTATTAATACTTTTTATAACGTCATTTGTATATTTGGGTTTTTCTAGGTGTATTTTGGTCTTTCTATATGCGGTCTTTGAATTTGTTATGTGTATATTTGAACTGAAAAAACTATAGGCAATTTTTTATGAATTTTTTCCTGAGCGGGTCACAGTTTTAATACATCGTTCTTCATTCTGTGAAAATTTCATAAAGATTGGATAAAAAATGGTGGAGTTATTTTTAAAAAGTATATATATAGAAAAACCATGTTTCGAGAAAACGGGCGATAAAAAAAAATAAGATCGACTTAACGAGAAAATGGTGGTGACTGAATGCCATGGGAAGAAATAAGACTCTAGGAGGGTCTTATGGGATGAAATAGTTAGAGGCTGAAGAAGCTAAAAATGCCTACAACTTAAAATCTATAGTTTTGAGCCGAATCGGGACTTTCGGGGTGCCGCCCCGCCCCCTTTTAAAACGAATAAGGGCATGGCTAAATACACGGTATACATGTATTTACTGCTAACCCCCCCCCCGTGCAGTATTTACACGGACAGTTTTAGGATACTAATTTGGCTTACATGATAACCGACCGTTTGGTGGAGGAAATTACAAAAACATAAATTGTGGAAAGTGCCAATCGCAGCCTACCTTTTGAAACTGTCGAATCAGACGCAGAGACCTAGATCTAGATCTGATTCTAAATCGATGCCCTTCATTACTAGAACTAGGCCCTCGGAACGACAACCCTCCGTTGACCATCTGCTGGTTTGCCCCTAACCCCCCTAAAAGACAAAGGGTATGGTGCATCGCGAGACAATGAATACCGGGTAATACCGTAAAATTCAGTATAAGGGCGATAACATAGAGAATACCGAAACTTAAGCTGCTGAAGATGAACGCGGACGGGCGCCAGTAGGTGTCTGCTTGACTCCACATAAGAGGGCGCCTAAAGCCTAGATCTAGATATAAGAAAAAAAATTATACCACAACACAGCTGGTATTTATGAAGCATTTATTTGGGGATTAAAAAACCTGGAATTCCTAAAATATTGCTTTAAATGTAATTCTGCTCGTTTGCCACCCTAATTTGATGACGCTGATTTAAAAAATACCATTAGTTTTTGTCTACTGCGAAGCACCAGCTCTGAAATGGCCATTTGAAATAAATTAAAATTGTCTCCTGTCCAGTCGGATGACGTCACGCAAACCGCTCAACCCGTGTTGGCGACGGCGAGACGGCATGAGTTCCCGACCTCAGTGCATTCTTGTCGCATCTCCATTTTTAATAACAGTGAAAGCAGTGCACAACAAAGAGTGAGCTTAAGAAGAAGTCACTTTTTTAATGTAAAAACAAATGGAGATAGGACAAGAAAGCACTGAGGTCGCGAGTTGACAGTGAGACACCCTTCCCAGTTTTTCGGCGTAATAAGAATGTAGTTTAGATTCCGATAAAGCCGACAACGCTGATCCGAGCTTAAAGCCGCCTGTAGTCTGCAAGCCCTAAATGGGGCAAGTTGGAAATCATAAGGAAATTTTTATGCCTATCGGCGCTTACTGAATCAGTCTCCGAAATCGGCGTTCTCTATGTTTTCGCCCTAACATACTGGGCTGAATAAGTATTCCCGACTGTAACTTAATAATTAGTGTAATATTACTTTCAATAGCTTGGAGTCCCAGTAAAAATTGTCACCGTCTAAAAGTTGTTTATCAAAAACGTACCTGTGTAAAACGTTCTTTTCGCTAATAGCGTTCACTTTTCAAGGGGTTTTTGTATTAGTGATCTACATTTTGTGTATAACGGGCATTGTACATTTTGAGAATTAAGAACATGGCGAACAGTGATAGTTTTACAAGGAATACGAAACTTAATCAGCGCAGTGAGAGTAGTGCAAGTTGATAAGATTGTAGCAGAGTTACATGTTACGAATTACATGTTACAAGCGTATTAATTATTGTTTGCATAGCCCCCCCCCCTTTCCACTTAGATTTCATATTATATAATTTTATTAATCTTGCTTCCGGCCACCACCATTCTTTCAGTTTTGTTTCCTTTCTTGTTCCCATTGTAAGCTGACTACATGAAGTGACACTGTGTTATGTAATGAGTAGCACACAAGTTCAACGTTTATAGCATTTGGTAATCTCCTGTCATAGAACAAGCATGATAAACTGTCACCAGTGAATCACAATGGTCAGGTAATTAGTTTTACTTTCTCGTCTCATTATTCATCACTGTATTATCATCTTTGCCACCTCTCTTCAACTTGAATTAGTAAACGAACAGTTGAAATTTTCTCATTTTTCTCTGTTTCGTTGAATAAAAGGGGGGTGGAATAGCATACCTTTCAAGTCTTTACTCATTTTTGATATTTGATAAAATTCTCTTTGATAATTTCAGAACTGGAGGTATCATCCCAAATGTTGCAAAAGAGTTGCATATGAAAAATGTGGAAGGAGTTGTTACTCAGGCCCTTGAGAATGCAAAGATGGATTTGAGTGTGAGTTTGAGAATAGAATAGTGATTTCTTTAAAAGATTTCCTTTCAATTTGCTTTCACTTTTTATACTTCCAGGATATTTGCGTCGCTTGTTGTTACTATCCAGAACGAAAAAAAAATCCCTCCTTTTCAGTCATTGCTGAGCCATGAAATGAGTTTTCAATGTCATTTGTATTTTATAAAATTGAGAATATTACATGATTTATAAATGCCATACCTTAATAGTTTTAAAAACAAATACACACATGACTATTGATTGCTGTGTAGTGCAATACTCTTTTAATCTTGGTCTGGCATGCTTTTGTTAAAGACACAACGGTTGGTCCCTCTACTATAAAATTATTATTGTTGGACACTGATCTTTACATTCTTATGAACAGTATTCTCCTTTGAAGTGAGTGTTATAATTTTACATGTTTCTTCCTTTATCTAGAAATTACAATCTTTGAATGTTAAGCCTCATTTATTTTGATCTGGATATATGTTAACATTTTAAAGTACGTTTTAAAAGTATTTACATTCAAATGGCCTGTAACTGTTGGATTATGTAATTTGGACTGGGTTTGACTGTACTCTGGATTGCATTCATTGCACTGATGTTTTGTTCAAGTTACTAACATTTTTTGGGTCACTTTTGAGAATTCCAACTTGTGTGCTCTTAGTCACCAGTTGTAAGGCAAATCAAGATCCTTTGATCCTTTGCTCTGCTCAACTTGAGAGCGCGATTCTCTGGTTTTATTTATTTGAAGGCATATGGACTCTTCCCCCTCCCCCAACTTTCCTTTCATTAACCGTTGTTTGATTACTAAAATGATCAAAGCCTGACTGGTTCCTTAGACCCAACATTGCTTCTTTTTGTCTCAGGACATGGATGCTGTAGCAGTGACGGTTGAGCCAGGTCTCATCATGTCTTTACGGGTCGGAATGCAGTACGCTCAAAAGCTTGCCAGATTGTCAGGGTAAGTCTTTGTTCATATAGAAAATGCCACTTGCTGTGAATGCTAGGATCTTTTTGATCTTCTGGTCTCATCATACTGTGTCTCTCTAGATTTGCCTTTGCTGATACATCTTTCTATTTCGTTTTGAGACTGATCTTATGTTTTATATTGGCTGCAGTCTTCTTTCATCTGGACCCGAGTTTCTTAACTTGATATCTGTTATGCTAATGTTTCTCTAGCAGGCAACTTTGTAGTTTAGTAGGGGTCAAACTTTTTTCTTACTCCTGTACTCTAGTTCTTAGTAGAGGAAGTCTTGGTATTCTCTCATCTTCCACTTAAACTGTATGAGTCGTTAAAAATGCTGTGAACTCCTCATCCTTCCAGAACCTGTGTCTTTTTTTGTTGTTGCTTTTTGTCACATAAAATCATCCATCAAAATTCTTCCATCTTAACCATCTTGTACAAGTATTCATACGACCTTAGAGCATGCATCAGAATAACATTGAGTGGTATGTATCTAGCTAAAGATTATTATTGTTTATATTGCTGCTCATTTATATTATGCATGTGATTGTAAGCCTGCGTGTGTGTGCATGTGTTTTGTGTGTGTGTATGTGTGTGTGTGTGTGTGTGTGTGTGTGTGTGTGTGTGTGTGTGCGTGTGTGTGCGTGTACACGTGGTGAAACACCAAGCCAGGATCTGGACAATAAAGATGAATCTTATCTTATCTTATCTTATAAAAATTAGAATCTTTTTAAGTCATCTCATGGAAAAGCTGTTTCGGTTACAGATAACAATGAATCCAGAACAAAATATCAGTTGGCTTTTATCTTGATATTGATTTTGTGATTCTTTTTCCCTCAAACTTTCTTTGATAGCTTGCTCTGATTCTTATGCCTTACTGTTGAGCAAGTGCCTGCTTGCTGTTGGTGGTAGAGGTCTGGTCTACTACTAGCTTTGCACTTCCTGTTGCTACCTCCTGGTTCATAATTTCTAACATGGGGGAGTTAAGCACAATGTTAACCTTAGTTACCTGTTTTGGGCTCTGGTGCATAGACAGGTTCTGCAACATTTTAGAAACATGTAAGCATAGGTCTCAATTTTGATATCTGAATGATTTGTGGCTTCTGTTTGAAAGAAAACTCTTGATTTTCGAAAGTAGTGGAAAAGGCATGTGCCAGATTTTTCCAGCCAATTCGGCTTAGTGGATGCTAATTGCTACATCATCTGCAAAACATAGTTCTTTGATGAGAAAATAACTCATCTTTGTTTTCACTTTTAGTCATTAGGCTTTGCAGAATCCTCAAAAGGAATGAAAGTGGAAGAAAATTCAACCCATTTATTCTGGAGATCGTACCACCTCTTACGTGGCAAATCAGTTCCAAAGTGGGTTGTAGCAAGGATTTGTCTCTGCTTTACCCCTCTTGATCTTAAAATTCCTAACTTATACCCCATCAAAGATGACACTATTGTCTTACCAGTGTGTGGTGACTATGATTTGAAAGTGAGTGGGGGAGAGCCAATCTATTCCTGTGATTTCTAGAGTCCTATGTGACTGGTTAGTTTAGAATGCCCTTTTAGTACAACTTTAGCCTTTCTTTTTATTTTTTCATTTAGGATGAAATAATGTTCTGCTGTATTTTTTGCAAAGGCTGATGTAATCCTTTTTTGTGTGTGTGCCGTTTTTCCATTCTGTGGACTACAATTGTGTAGTATCCAATGAATAGATCTTTGCATGGGTGTTAGTTTTCAGTTTCAAATCCTCTGATTTTGTTGTGAAACCCCGTGACTATTATTTGTTATGTTGTTTTAGTGTCAGAAAGCATTACATAATATTTGTTAGTGTCAGAAAGCATTACATAATTTGTGTTTTGTAAGCATCTTCATCTGCTCCTCAGAATTCCAGTTTTTTTCTCATATTTTGCTTTTGTGAAGTCCTGTCAGTGCACATGATTAAGTGAAGACAAATTGATTCAAATTGCTGTTCCAAGTATGGGTGACATAAATCCACCCGTTACAGAGATACTTGAGGATAAGTTGCGCCAGGAATTTTGACTGAATGGTAGTGTCATGATGTATGATAATTTAGGCATATATCTGCTCTGGCCTGACTCCTAATGGGAGAAGGGTACTGCTATTTATGTCTTCGTTTCTTACCAGCAAACAACTTATCCCGATTCATCATATGGAGGCTCATGCTTTGACGGCCAGAATGATTCAGAGGTATGCTAGTAGTATCACAGAAGAGACAATATGCTTTCTTAAATAAATGTGAGGCATCGTGGTGCTGTCAGGCGCTCGTCAAAATAATGAAATCCAAGAAATCAGCTTTTTTTTGGCTGATGGGCAATTTTTAAATAATTTTCTTTGTTTGGCTCAACACCTTTTATGTCCATTTAATAACACATTTTTGTGTGGATTTATTTTACTGAAAAACATTGATTAAAGGTACGAAAAATGTAAATTTTCAGTTTCCAAGGACTCTCAGGCTATTGAAGTTGCCAAACTTTGGCGGCTATTTCCTGGCTAATTTCACCTCTGGAACCAGGCGACCCTGACCTCCTTCAATCGCAAGTATTTGGACTTCTATGCAACATAGATGAATTTTTTTTTTCACCAAAAGGAAGGCAAATGAACACGCTTTAAGATGCAAAAGGAAGGCAAATGAACACGCTTTAAGATGATGCCTATAACCTCATATACCCAAAAATTGACGAGCCCCTGATTCCACCACATCGTGACACTAATGCATTTAAATCATGTTAATCTGAGCAAATCTCATGTGTATTATATTTGATTGTAACCTCTGTGGTGGTATCATTTGAACTTTTTAATGATAGTAATAGTACTATAACGGTTTGTGTTTTACACAGTTCATACAAGTCTTAGCTGCTTTTACTTATTTTAGATAGTGATCTTTTTGATGACCTAATATGAGCTTTTAATGATAGTAATAATGCTGGTATGGCATGGTATTGGCTTCACAATCTTTTCAACACAGAAAGATTGAAGACAAGAGATATGTATGTTTTGATGCACATCCTCCATAAGGTCAAGTCAGGTTTGTAGAACTGTCATGAATTATTAAATGCTACAAAACAGTCTTAGTTTAAGAATGTGCCATCAGGGATTCAGAACAGGATTGACTGTACAGCAATTCAGTTTTTTACCAACTGAGCTGATAGTTCGTCCTTCTAATAAAACTGACTACTAAATGCCAACGCAAAAAGCCACAATATATCCAATAATGAGCTATTATTGTGAACATCTGTTATATTTATGTTTCCTTTGCTGACACAACTTTGTCCTATAGTTTTATTTGACTCCCTTAGCAGCTGATTGTTTTGCAATTCCAATGGTCAGTTGGCTAGCATGCTTAAAGAACTGTCTTTTCTGATGTCTGAAGTTCTCTTTTCAAATTATGTACAGCATTACCCCTGCTGGTGTTGATGTTAACATATTTTGTGTAGAATTACTGGTCACATTAAACTATCACTTAATGTCATTTTAGCAAGGGAATTACTGTTTGTATGAACTATTAGTTTAGTTGAAGGGATAATGTCTACACTATTGACTTATCCAGGGTTTGTCCATAAGAAGTCACTCATTTTATTTTGTTACATGAGGAATATAAGTGAGATTTTGTTTGCTTTCAAGTTTTCTTGATTTTTAAGGTAGTGCTATGGAAATAGCCTTAGGTTTTTAAAACTAAAATTTGATTGTATTCATAAATTCTTATCAGATTTTATCATCATTTTTTAAATTACAGGACCATGAACTTGTAGAAAAATTTTTAATCACACATATTAGATTCCTGATAAGTTATAGCAGTACACTGCTTTTCCAGAGTTGACTTCCCATTCCTGGTTCTATTGGCAAGTGGTGGTCACTGCTTACTGGCCATAGCTCGGGGGATTGATGATTTCCTTCTACTGGGAACTTCCCTCGATGTCGCCCCAGGGGATGCCTATGACAAGGTGTGCTTGAGACTTTTGAAGTACAGACATGAGGGACCAAAGTTGTGTGTGTGTGTGTGTGTGTGTGTGTGTGTGTGTGTGTGTGTGTGTGTGTGTGTGTGTGTAGTGTTGAAAAGTTTAGTTTTCACAGAAGAATGGAAGATTCTATGAAATGAATATGGAATATTTGTTTTTGGTTTTTTTAATCGCAAGTCTATCTTCAACTTCATGATGTGTTATACAATGATTATCTGTATTTTCTTTTGGATTTTCAATGTATTTGTTTTCTGCTTTTGCTGTGCAACATTGAATGATTGGGTACCTCTCAGCAAAAGAAAATGCTAGCAGCGAATCAAAAACTGTGTATGAAAGTGAAAGGAAATAACTGGACAATGATGTTTAAGAAACTAGGAAAAAACAACCTGTTAATGCTGTAGGTTATTAACAAGAAGCCATTCTTGACAGCTGGGAGATTAGGGGCAGAGTGGTGATATAAGAAATGGGTGTTCAGAGTTATATCTCTAAAAGAAAGACAATGTTGATATCAGTCAGTTTCTTCATTGTCAACATATGGGGAGTTGCTTTATTGGAGCTTCTCACTAGGGACTGCCTGCATTATTCTAAGGAGTGTATGAAATTCAACCATCCCCCTCCTCCTCCCCCTCTCCTCCCCCTTCCAGTTTATAGGCCTGTTTGCTGTTCTAAATTATTACAATGCATATCAAAGAAGAATTATGTATGCTTTCTCTCTGTTCTTAAATGTCTTGTTCATAGATTATTAACTTTGCTTATATTAACGTTTCCTCATGCCGTTGCTAGACAGCTCGTGAGCTCAAGTTGAACAGTTTACCTCGCTTCCACGGCCTCAGCGGTGGTGTTGCAGTGGAGCAGATGGCCAAGGAAGGAGATCGCAATGCTTTTCCACTTGTGCATGTTATGACCAGCCGTGCTAATTGCAACTTTTCCTTCACTGGGCTCAAAATATCGGCAAGACGACAGATACGGGCAGAGTATGAAAGATTAGGTGTGTTTCACTTTTAAAAAAAATTATTTTTGTAAAAGTACTTTTACAGTTTGTTTTTACATATTGGACTTTGGAGACACGGCGCACCGGCAGTGGAATTTTAGTTGCCGCGGGGGGTTCCCCGCCGGGCGCCTTATCACGTCAGGGTCACGGGGGTCAGCTCCCTGTCACCGCTCTGTCTGGGCCGACTTAATTTATGGTACTTTTCAACGTACAATTTAAGGTGCATCCTTGTATTTATGGTAATTCTCATTTAGTGCACCCAAAGCACGCATTTCTGCTCTTGAGACTCAAAAAAGAACGGGCGTTGTAACTTGTCTGGTTATTTCGTTAGACGCGCTGGAGTCGGCAATGCTAAATTGTAATTTTTTTTGAACTAGCGTGAATGGAAAAAAATCAATATAAAAAAACCGCATCGTCAAAATCTGTCGAACTTTTGGAATAAGAACGACATAACATTAGTGCAGATACTCAGAAAAGATGGTATCTGCGCTTATAATAGAAGGCTGTAATTTTGCAATTTTATCCATCATGCACTCAATTCGCTACGAAGTAATTCCTCCAAATACAACTTTATGTGTCTAATATAATCGTGAATATTCGCATATTTTCTCGAAAGTTTATAAATATCTTCAACGTAGATCTAATACACGAACAGTATCTGTTACACTCCAGAAATTGCTTACTCTTCTTAAAACGCTAAGTCTAGGTTTTGTAAGTTGACTGAATAATAGGGATGACTTCTCGTAATTGGGTTATAAGAATAATTTCTAGCTTTCCAGCGACACTGAATCAGCACCAGACTTTTCCAGCTTTTTTTACGTTTCTATGACCATTTGCAATAACTGACAATGTGACTGATTTCTTTACATGCATAATTGTGTCCGCGCATATTT